CCAAAAATTATCTTCCCTGGATCTCACCCAGATAAAGAGCAGGATGCTTGCTCTGATACCAATTGAAATTCTGGTATCAGATATGTGATGTCGAATGAGATGTCATGACACAAATATCTGAGGAACAAAGTAAAGTGCAATAATAATAAATGCAGTAAAAACACAAGAGATTGTTCACCCAGTTTAGTGTACAACAACACCTACTCTGGGGGCTACCAAGCCAGGGACAAGTCCACTAAATAGTATCAATTTATAGACCCTTAGTAAACAACCAGTTTACGATCTAATCACTTAATCACTATCTGTTCTATAATTCTACCTAAGACTCACCTATGTATGAGGCCCTCCTCAAATCCCTTCAATCACTTACAGTGAAGAAACAACAAAATTAATAAGTTTAAAAGACTTCAATCATTTAATGCTTAAAATCTTATGAATGATACACAATTAACAATCCAAATAACAACACAAGTATTAAATCAATACTAGAGTGTTTGACAATTAAATGATTTAGACTTCTAAAACAGAAAGAAAGTATTCTTCTTCAAAAGTTGCACGTCTTTGAATAAGGAAGCAGGTCCTTATATATGCGCAGCTGTGGGCTTGGGCTTAAAACCAAATATTTAAATCTTTTGAATATTTCCATGAAAACATGCCAAGATATAATCCATAAAGATAATTTAAATAGAAAAATATTCCTCCATATTTTTCGCAGCCTATGAGACACAAATCCTGAATTATGATGCACAGGAAATCAGGAAACAAAAAACTTAAACTGATGTTGGTTGAGTTCAGTTCAGGAGGCAGATGTCAAGACATCTGCTTTGACATCATTCAAAATAGTTTTACTTCAAATGTTAAGATATTTAGCAAACCATTATCAAGTCATTGTTGTACCAAAATTGCTGTCAACAAACACTTACAGTTTAAGTCCATCAAGACGGGCGCTCTCCATATCTCCTCTAAGAGTGGTTAGGGATCCAACACTTACATTTTCTCTGGGGGGATTGGATTCCTACTAACATTGTATGATGTTCTGGACATGGTACTCCAGTGTTAGATTATTATGGCGTAACTCGTTCATGGCAACGTGAATCTCTGCCAAGGTGATGACATCACTGCTACCACTGATACCTTTTAGTGTAGGGGATGGATTTCTCCTATTAACCATGGCCAAAAGAGGCTAGGTGTAGAAGTGGATGGCAACAATGAGTAGGGTGATGGTGATGACTAATGTGTGGCCCAAGTTAGTTTTACTAGGTCTCCACAGTGGGTACCAATGTACTGGTCAAAAAGTATATATGTACATGTTACCCCTACAAGGGCAGGGGTACTCATAGGCCTTAGTAGTTATATTATGTTGTATGGTGGTTAGGGATTTCCACGATGACGAGAAGCCCTTTATGGTAGTGTTTATGGTTGTTTAGAGGACTTACTCATGTGATGTGATATGCTCTGTATATGTGTTAAGAGCTTAGGTATAAGCGTATGAGTTATGATATGTATCAGTTAAGATCTTCTCTTCTTCCGATGAGGGAGAGGTATTTATAGAGGCTTCTTTGGGCATATGGTTTAGAAAACCCTTAGGGGAGAACATCGCTCCCACATGACCCGAGGAAGTTGTTGACTACCTATTCTTCAGGGAATCATGGTGGACTTCCTCTCATCTGACTAACGATATTATACACGTCAACAATGCCAAGGGCAAGCCTCTATATTCTATGAGGATGTCACCTAGGAGACATCACTCCTAGGAGAGGATGCTCGAGTCGCCCAACTTAGTAACAAGATAATAAAAGATATTTATAAGTATGGACAAGAATATTTAAAATGATAAACATTGTCTTAATATTTTGAATACCTAAATTCCAATCCCTGGCAACAACACTATTTTTTGTGTAAAATAAAAGTAAGTACTCGTGTTATCGTGTATATAAGGATTAATGGGATATTTAAAAATCCTTTCAATAATCTTTATAATTTTAAGCGAAAAATTTGAAAAAGTTGTTTGTTTGATAACTAAGTTAAGATAACTATGAATGAAAAAAAGATTTTACCATGTGAGAATGAGATTGTTGGGGTTAGATTTTATTATCCTATCCTTCTTTATCCTCGTGATCATATATATATATATATATATATATATATATATATATATATATATATATATATATATATATATATATATATATATATATATTCTGAGTCATCAGTTACTATTATTAACTATTACTTTGTGTATGTTGTTTATGTCTAAAATACAACGTGAAACCAATCGTATTGCTTAATTGACAATCTATCATTCGGTTAACCGATACAATAACATTAAGTTTTGACTTTATGTGTATGTGTGTGTGGAAGAGTGTGAATGTTAAATCTAAATTTGTCTCTAGAGTTTTAGTATCTAACAAATGAAAAATTTTGATCTAGTTAAAAAATGTATTTCTCAATATCAATTCAAAACCATTATAATAAGTTATAAGTAGCCAATTTATAACAAGCATTAAAAACGAAGATAATTATCAATAGTAATAAATAACTAGAACATATATAATTTCATGATCAATCTAAATAAATGACTATTTGGATAAGTACATCTAAGCCCAACAAAAGAGAATTTATCTACTCTTACTCATAGTAGCATTAGAATGTGATCAAGTAGAAAGAAATGGAATAACATCAACGACGATTTCTCTGATCGAACAGAGCTTCCACCTATAATTTTTAATACCTGTCTTAGAATTACTCCCTCTCAAATCTCTATGAATTCTCTCTATTCTGTTGTGGAATAAATGATGGAATGAATTGGTCGTGACCTATATTTATAGAGGAATGATCAGGCTTTTTCGTCCAATGAGGTCTTTAGCTCGTCCAACGAGCCTACCTTCTTTAGCCATATGTTATGTCTAGCTCATCCAAGTGGGATTTGAACACCTTGTCTCGCGAAACGAGCAAACCTTTCTTCACCCTAAAGTTATTTCGCGGAGAGGTCTTTAAACTTCCTGTTTCGCCCAACGACTTAGTCACTTCGCCCAACGACTTGCCTCGCTTCTGCATGAAGTAACTTTGCTTGGAAGTCATCGTAGAATGCTTGTGCTCGCCCAAAGAGCTTTTGTCTTCACCTGATGAGATTGATTCATAAAGGTTACCATGTTTATGCCCTCTCTTGACTAGGCGAGCCCCTGCTTGCCTAACGAGTTCTTTGCTACTCAACTTCTATATTTTGTGATTTCCTTGGTTGTTTTCATTTGTACTAATGAATAACATAGTTAAAATATCGATACACATGTTTTATATCCTTTTTAAAATAGATTGGGGGGTTTTTCATATGCTTTCTTGTGTTTTAAGTTATTAAGTGCTTATGTGAAATAAGTAACTTTGACATATATCAGCAAACACCGAGATCTATGTTTTCTATAGATGATTTAGTCCTACTTTGAGAGTCAAATGAGAATTTAAATGAGAGGTTGAATACTTGGAGACGAGTAGCTTTCGCCTAAGTAGAAGTAAGGTAGAGTATATAAAATGTAAGTTTAGCAAAATGAGAAGTGTTTCTAACATATATGTGGAAGTTGTAGACATATCATACCACAAATCACGCGATTTAAGTATCTTGAGTCTGTAATACAAAACGATGGAGAAATAAAAGGGAATGTAAAGTATGGAAATCAATTTGAGTGGGTGAAATGGATGAGAGCCTTGGGAGTTTTATGTGACACAAAACTACTAGTCAAGTCGAAGGAAATTTTTTATCAGACAACTGTAAGACCTACGATGTTCTACGATACAAATGTTTAACGATTAAGAATCAATATGATAATGAAATAAATTTAATAGAGATGATAATGTTGCATCGGGTACATGATAAAACTATACATGATAAAATTATAAATTACAATATTATAGATAATGTTAGGATAACACATACAATAAAAAATAATGAAATATAAACTTAAGTGGTTTAAACATGTAAATAGAAGATTTTTAAATTATGTTTTGAAAAGAATATATCAAATAAAAATAAGTCAAACTATTAAATAAATAAAAACCTAAAAAAAAACTATTTAAAAAGATACGAAGATTAAAGAATTTATGTTGTCGTATTTGTTAAAGAAATGAATTGTAGATTTAACATAAAATTAAAAAAAAAAATATAATTCAAACTCTTCTTAAATTGTTTTTAACTTATATTTTTTGTATTGTACTCAAGGAATGTAGGAGAGTATTTAACTCTATTTCTTTACTATATTTTTAATTGTAGTCATTTTGAACTTAATTTACGCGGCTAGTTTATTACACAGACATAATAACTTACAAATTAAGAAAACTCAAAACCAAAAACAATGAAAAAAAACTGTAATTTTTTCAATAAATAAATAAATTAAATTATTTCCATAAAAAAAAGACAATGACGTGGAAATTTCTCCACCGTCCATTCATTCTATTTTACACCAAAAAAAATACCATTTTGTTTCTTTCTCTCTTTCTTCTTCCTTTTTCTCTTCACTTTCTCTCTCCTCTGTGTCCTCTCTCTCTTCCATTCATTCATCAGCATCCCTTTATATAGTCTCTCCATTCAAAACCATATCTATCTATTCTATCAACCAAAAAAAGATTATCTTTTTAAGGATACTTCTCTTTTCCATCTCTCATTTTTTACAACAAATCCCAATTTTTTAGCGATTTTGTTTCCACAACCCAGAAATCTAGACACAAAAACGGAGAAAATAATTCATACCCAGATTTTGTTTCTCTTAAATATTTTGTGGGTTTGTCTGTTTTTCGATTTTTTTGGTTTTAATCCTTTCAAAATTTCTTTTTTTTTTTTCACCTTCTTAGTTGAAGAGTCACAAAAAAAGTTGAAGAGTCACAAAGAAAATCATTTTTTGTGTGGAGGATCTGTGTTCTATTCGGTTAAATCTAGTGGATTGTGTTAAGGGGTTTTGAGAATTTTTTTTTCAAGTTGTATGCTGAGAGCTTTTGGATTAAGTGCTTCTTCCATGGCTGCTGAATCAAAAAACTGTAATCTTTTCTTTTGATTATAATTGATAATTTTAATTATTATTTTTTTATAAAAATGAGATTTTTAATTTGTTGTAAATTTTCTGCTTTTTTTTTTTTTACAGCTGCGGATGAAATGAATAAGAAGAAGCTCCATGGTGACTCTTCAACTTCTGAGCATAATAATTCCATCATGGTAATCTCTATTTCTATTGCATGTGATTTCTATTTTTCATATATATATATATATATATATATATATATATATATATAATACTTTTTTTGTGGTTTAATTTGAGGTTAACTGTTTCATTAGTTCTATGAATGAGATATGAAGAGACACATGTTTTCTTATTGTGGTTTTTGGATTTGTTGTATGTTATGTTAAGGTTTCTTCAAAGGGTGGTGGAAGTTCACCATCTGATGCAAGATCATGTGTATCATCAATAGGAGATGCTTCTGGAAGTGTTAAAGAAGGGGAGTTGGATCATGAATATCAATCTATGGATCCGAATGTTCCGTATTATGGATACTATTATCCAGGTTAGCTTCCAATGGTTCCCTATTCATCGGTGTTGTCACTATTAGATCGCGGTAAATAGTGGTTTGTTCAAATTTCGCTATAGGTATAGCTTGTTATTTGACAACAATTTAGCGGTTTTGATCATATTGACGAAACAACGGCATTTTGTTCATAATCCGCTATGTTACAAGATCACTATAGCCGCGATTTGACAACACTGCTATTCGTTTATGTTGGCTGTATATTTATGTTTTCATTTCTTACGGTAGAATGATCACAGGTTATGGTGGTTTCTATGGGGAGCCAGAAAATCAAGGATATTACGTTGGTGCTGAAGCCGTGGATTTTCAGTATCCGGTAAGTTTCTCGAGCTGGTATATTTTGGACGACCATTTACGTGACTTATGTAAATATCTTAATTTTTGTTGGTTTTATTTAGGTCATGCAAGCAGATAATGGGTCTTATGTCTATCTCATGCCAGGGTTTCAGACTGGCTACCCTTCATATTTTCCTTTGAATACCGCCGGTGTCGATGGTCAATATCATGTTTACCCTCCTGGTTCGGTCTATCAACAACCAATTGGATCCCCTGCCTATTATCCAGCTTCAGTACCTTATGCGGAGTTGTTTCCATCAACATACTCTTGGGATTCATCGTTAACAGCACAAGATGTATCACAAAGGAATTGTTACAATAACTCGGTTACTAAACCGAGTGGTAGGTCTAATTTTTCTTCCGGTAGTGATATGGTGTCAAAGTCTATGCCTTCTTCTAATGTGGCCAACTCATCCGAAGTGAAGGGTTCGCCACCGTTATTAGAGGTTTCGTCAACTCATGTTAAGCGTAACCAGCCAAAACAAGCAAACAAGGTAACCTTAAAATCCTTAAAACGAGGTGATATCTAGTTTCCTTAAGATTAGATTGTTCTAACGAGGTTGTGATGTTTTTCAGGCATCCATTTCCGGTCCGGTTCTCCACTCAGATGCAACGACCAAAGTATCGTTTCCTGTTGCGAAGTTTTCTACATATAATCAAGGAAAGAGTGGATTCCCCTATCAAAGCAACGTGCTTAACGTGAAAGCAAATACAAAGGGATGGGTTAGTACTGAAAAACTGAAACTCAGAAACAAGGTTAACGATTCACTTATTGAGCAGAATCAGGGTCCTAGAACTTCTATTGCGAAAGTTACTTCAAATTTGGGAGATAATTCTGCTCGAACGGTAGCAGTCGAAGAGAGTAGAGACAGGGACAGCAAAATCAGGACAGATCAGTATAACCTTCCCGATTTTCCAACCAAATACGATCATGCACTTTTCTTTGTCATTAAATCATACAGCGAGGATGATGTTCACAAGAGCATCAAGTATGACGTATGGGCGAGCACTCCAAATGGGAATAAGAGAGTCGACAATGCGTTTCAGGATGCACAGAATCGAATGGAAGAGAAAGGAAGCAAGTGTCCTGTATTCCTTTTCTTCTCGGTATGCTATCAACCCGATTGCTCCAGTCCATGTTTTATTTTCTCATATATTTATCTCCAAAAATTACGAATTCCTCACATCAATGTTTTTGTTTTTTTGTAATTGCTTTGAGTTCAGGTCAATGCTAGTGGTCAATTTTGCGGAGTAGCCGAGATGATAGGTCGCGTCGATTTCAACAAAAGTATGGATTTCTGGCAGCAAGACAAATGGAATGGATATTTCCCAGTCAAATGGCACATTATAAAGGACATTCCAAATCCTCAACTACGACATATTATCCTCGAGAATAATGATCACAAGCCTGTAACAAACAGTAGAGACACACAAGAGGTTCGCATTCGCGTTAAAGTCAACTATTTACCGAAAACTTCCTGGTTATTTCCTCCGTATGCTTACTGTTGTGTTGAATATTTCAACTTTTCAGGTGCCTTTTCCGCAAGGTATTGAAATACTCAACATTTTCAAAAACTACGGATCAAGAACATCAATATTAGACGATTTTGATTTCTATGAAAGCCGTCAGAAGGTAATGCAGGAGAAGAGAACAAGACAACCTATGCAACATACAAGCAATACACAGGTTTGATTTTACAGTTGTACCTCATTCTTATTCCAAAATTCTCACTTTTTACTCGCGATATCATACATTGATTCCTACGAATCCTTTTTCGACATTATTGATGAATGTGGCATGTGATTGTGGGACCATTTATGCCTAGTTGACAAACTATTCTAAACTTGATACCCTCTTTTTTGTTGGCAGCATATAGATGACTTAACAAGTGCGCTCGGGTCGGTAGACATATCAAGTGTAAAGAAGATGGAAGATTCCAAGTTGGTTGAGAAAGTTAATGACTGAAGAGAATAGAATCTAATGTGATGCTATGGACCTCACTGCGCTGGTGCTATTCCTGAGCTATGAAGCAAGAGATATCACGAGTTTGAAGTTGAAGTTGAAGTTCGGAGACGAAAATTCTTGCGGATGCTTGTAGAAGGGAGAAGGAAATGATGGTTGGAGTAAAAAAAAAGAAAAATTAGAAAGATGAAGTTTTTCAAGATGGAAGGAGTAGGTGATTGGTGTTGCAAGGAAAGGTTTAGTTTTGTTTGTTTTTTGTGCACATAAAAAGGTTGAGTTTGGTTCCTTGTTATTGCCTTATTGGTATTGTTTTTCCTTTGTAATTGTAGAATTGAAGAGTACTAAGGATAGGTTGTTTAATGGATGAAATTGGGAAGTTTCTAACCAATTATAATTTGAGGTATATTATAGTTTGGGGGTGTTGAAGATTGTATTATTTTAGTATATCATAAAAATAAGGTGGTCTGTATATATAGACATGTCGGTGTGGAGTTTGAATATACCTGTCTTCTTAAGTCAATTTCAAAAACATTTTCATTTATGAAATTAGAGTTTAAAGTGCAGAAGTAAAACTTGCTAGACACAATAATCCCGTCCAAGTTTCAATTTTGCAGTAACTTTTACTCAGATCTGACGAACACATGTCTGAACGATTATTCTAACGAAGAATGATTGGACAACTCTAAATTTTATTTTCTGAAAACCTTTACTCAGATCCACTAAATTATTTCTCAGAGTATTGAGAAACTCTTCTCTTCTTTGATAAGCACCAATCAATACTATGAACAAGAAGCGAAACTTTCTTCTGATACATACAACAAAACTTCACTCAAAAAATATTAAATTCTCTAATGTAACTTGAATCTACCTCTCACAATCAAATCATAAGGTTGCACTTTGAATCAAAGAAAGAATGATTTGACTAAAAGGTAGTAAATTGACGAGTTTTTTAATTTGATTTGAAGTGTTTGTGATTTGAGTCACACAAAGCATGATTCAAATCACAATTCATTTTGATGAATATTTTAATTTATATGATTCGAACCGAATAATTTGTGATTTGAGTCAAGAATGTTAGACGACGACAATTTATCTAGAAGGAAAGAGTGAATAGACCTCCAAGGTAAAATTTCACTTAAAAATTTAAGCAAAAACTATGGCAAGCGGAAGTCGTATCCTAAATCACAAGTCGTTCAAACTAAACCGATTATAGGAGCTCGGATATGCGTACAATCAATACTCAATTGAATGATGATAATAAGAGATTAATACAATAAAATCTCAAGTAATTGTTTTACAATTACAAGACCAATCAATATATATATATATATATATATATATATATATATATATATATATATATATATATATATATATATATATAATATATATAATATATATATATATATATATATATATATATATATATATATTTATATATATATATATTTTATA